CTGGGGGGGTTTAAGAGACAGGGCACAGAAAGCACAGCGATCCAGGAGTAGTAGTGTCTATGTTCAAGGAAAATCAGATAGAAGATAGTGGTAGTAGATCCTTTAGTGGCTTCATTTAGAATAGAAACACAGTTAAACTGCTCTGATTCAGTTTAAAGTCTGTTGGTGAGCAGAACACACAGTAAGATAGCATAGTACAAGGAAATTGAATTACAATGTTGAAGTGTCATCTAGAATAGAGTAGAATCGAATCGAATAGAACAGAGTAGGATATTTCCCGATGGTGACAGAATTGTGTTTTAGACAGGGCTCCAACAACAATAAACCAGTTTTAAAATGACAAAGGCTGATAGATGACATTAATGTTTTAAATCGCTTTCTGAGCCAGAGAGAATTTAAACCTTCATCCATCTGGGGTACAACAGAGAGTTCTCAAAACACATGCATACAAACTGAAGTCAGAGTTACTTGTGTGTAACCTTTCAAGTCTTAAGTCAGTCATTCTCAGAATTGGTTCAACACTGATTCCTTCAAATGGTTGAAGCTGATACCTGAGGAGGAGGAGGAGGATACCTGCCCCCACCCATCCTAACCGCCTTCTACAGAAGCACCATTGACAGCATTCTGACCAGCTGTGTCACTGTGTGGTGTGGAGGCTGCAGCGTCTCAGACTGGAAGAAGGTGAGAAGTGTGGTGAGAACAGCAGAGAAGATCATTGGGGCTCCTCCTCCCTCCATTAAAGATATTTCATCTCAGCGCTGTGTGTCCCGAGCCCGTAACATCATCCATGACCCCTCACACCCCCACCATGGACTGCACTCTCTGCTGCCTTTTGGAAAGGGGATCACAGCATCCGCTGCAGACCAGCAGGTTCTGCAACAGCTTTTTCCCTGCTGCCATCAGACTGTTGAACTGTTCAAAAGCTCTAAATCAAGTCACAAATTAAGACTATGCATCACACTGATAAAATCATACTAGTACTTCATGGTGAATCTTCGAAACTCGACTCAACTCAAATGTTTTAACTGTATTTTGCATACATACTAGGGGTGTAAATAATAATCGTTTTGTATCGATGCATCGATCCAAAAGCCGAAGATCCGATGCATCGACACGTCCGCAAGATAATCGATTCATGTTTGTTTTTTTTCCTCCGGTCTATTTTTATCCATTTGCTCCTGGGCGTAATTCTCCCTCCCATGCTGCGGTGGCACTAAACCTATTTTGCCCTCCTACCTCGCTTCCTGGTTATACACTTACAGCAGTGTGTTGCAGCAAGCTTGACACAGACATTTTTAAATTATGCTCAATATTGAAGCGTGGTCTGAGCTACACACTGTGGGTCTAGATACGGCAGAGGCAGCGAGGAAGTGGGGGCGAGTTTAGTCCGACGACGGAGGGACATGAGGGCCAAAAAGAGCGGAGATCCAAGTGGAAAAAGGGTCCCAGCGTTCTTGCGCACCTCGCTCTTCTAGCGGGTCATACTTCACGAGTTGTTTTCCGCAATTTCAGTCATAAAAACAAAACAAGCTGGCCTCCTGTCTGCGGCACTGTTTGCGGTCAGCTACAATTTGGGAGAGGAGCGGCGGAGCGTCTCTCAAGGGGGCGGGGACGTCGACACTCTGGAGCCAAGGTATTGAATTGAACTCATTGCAATGATTCTGTGCAGTATTTTTGCAGTATTTTTTGATGCAACTTTTCTACTTCTGTTATTTGCTGTTGTTTCTAAAAAAAAAAAAATGCATAAAGATATTACAGCTTTCATTGATTTATTTCAAACTTGAAACTTTGTTTAGTGTAAAAAAAAAAAATAATAATAATTAAAATAAAATTTAACCGATTAATCGAATTGAATCGTGGTGTATTCTTGAGTATCGAAAATAATCGAATCGTTGGGTCAGGAAATCGATACTGAATCGAATCGCCATGATGGATGTGATTTACACCCCTAATACATACCATATATTTTTATTTATTTTGCACTGCTCTGAACCTTCCACATCAATGCGTTTTCTTTCACAATGTCTCTCCCACACGTTTACATTTGATCACTGCATCAAATGTACTTAATTGTTCTTTTTCACTGCTAAGCTGCTGCTTAAAAAAAAAATAAATACTGTCGGAAAGCTTTTTAAACTAAATTATGTTCTGCATACACTCTGTGTTTACAAAATTACAATTATGTTAGTCCAAGTTCAGTACCCTGCCTCTGAGCCTGTCAGGGCAAGGGACTTTTGGAAAACAGATGCCACCAGTCTGGTAATGAGTTGTGGTTTGAAGAAGTTCTTGGTCTAAAGGGGCTGGTTATACTCCCCGCTACAGTGTGTCGCAGTGAGCTTGACACAGACATTTTTGATTTATGCTCAATTTCGAAGCGTGGTCTGCGCTATGTTATTCCACCCCACAACGCAAGAGGTACAATCATGAACTAGCAGTGGGTCTAGATACGGCCAAGGCGGTAACGAAGTGCGGGCAAGTTTGTCTGTCAACGGGGGGACATGACTGCGAAAAAGAGAGCGGATCCAGGTGGAAAAAGGGTCCCAGTGTTCTCACGCACTCGCTCTTCTAGCTGGTCCATCTTCACGAGTCGTTTTCCACAATGGTGGTCATAAAAACAAAACAAGCCGGCAAGCTGATGTAGATTTGACCAATCAGAGGCCTCCTGTCTGCGGCACTGTCTGCGGTCACCTACAATTTGGGAGAGGTGCAGCAGAATGTCAGCGGAGGGGGCAGGGACGTCTTTGCGCTCACTGCGACACCTATGCAGACGACCTAGTTTTGAAGTATAAATTAGTCTTAATATAGGCTTGACAGCAAGAACATGTTGAAGAATGTTGAAGGTAGAGTCAGAGAAATATCAAAATAATGGAGCAAAAGATAGTGATTTTTTATAAACTATTAATAGCCTAATGTTAGAGAAAGTGAAATGCTTATCAATGTGAATCCTTTACACTAAATAACATGGATACTGAAGATCCCTTGCAAAATATACTACCTTGTTTGTTTTTTTCAAATGATTACATGATGTAATTGTAAATACAATTGAAATTACAGATAACAAGTCTAAGTCAAGTCAAGATGAGGAGTTTTTTAAGGTATGCATGTATCTTAATACCATATAAAGAAAAAAGCGGTAATTAGCAGAGGAAGCTTTGTTCTTGTGCAATTCCTGCAACACCACCATTAAACAGTAATGAATCTTACATGGAATGATTATAAATCCAATCACAGGTGTAACTTTCTGAAGGAGTGGTGTGGACATGTCCCCACCAATAATTTCCGCTTTTTTCCGTTTTCCGCTCATTTCCTTTAGCCAAAGGTAACAGAGTTGGGTGCAGCTATCTGTGTTCAGAGCATTTCGAGTCAGTGTTATTTTTTTCGTCTCTCCCGCTGTTCTCTTGTCCCGCCTCTCGGAGTAACATCATCAGATCTGTTGCTTTGAGACATCTGATTTGCGGTCGCATTTAACTGCGTACAAAGTAGCTATGTGGTTGGAGGAGAGACTCTCAGCAGCACTCAGTGATTATTAATCGGCAGCTTCAACGTCAATGTTTAAGTAAAAGTAAGGAGACCGGTTGGTTAAAAAAATTAGAGATCATACCACTGAAAAATCTGTTTGATATCCAGAGCTTTTCAGTTAAAATGGCAACAAATTACAAGTTGATACAAATTAGTATTACAATGCAAGAAGCTTGAGAGAACAGAGTTTGTTCTTCTTTACAAGTTAAAAAAGCTTGGCTTCTCAGAGGACCATGACTCCCAGTTACAGGTTAAAATTAACATACTTATTATTGATCAGATAGAATCAGACTGCAGAGCTTCTACATATCTTAAAATTTTGTTTCTGGCATCATTATATTAGTAAATAGGTTCATAAATCTTTTTTAAACAGAGGACAGAGAGAAGTAGGAAGAGCTGCAGATTTAAAGGTGAAACAGATTTACTGGGATATGCAACATGCAATAAAATATATCTTCAGTTTTTCCAGAAAGTTTACGAGAAAAAACTATGCTATGCTATATTTAAAATGCAGCATGTCTATTTTTTTCTGGATGGATGGAATTGAAGTTGTACTTCTAGGGATGCATGATATATCGATTTTAGCATCATAATCGGCTGTTATTCATTATTTCTTTATACATTAATGTTTTTGGGCCCTATAGATGTAATGCACTAAAAGGCATCTCTCTAACTATCTATAAATATAAGTATCAGTGTATTATAGTTCTCTTGTGTTCTCAACAATAGGAAAGGATTCAATAAATACATATGTTTGAGCTCATTTTTGGAAAACACAAAAACCTAATCAAAGTGTTTGGGTTGAGTAACTGTAAGTCCGTCAGCCCCCACCCTTAGAGTGTCCCCACCAATTTTCAACACAAAGTTACACCAATGAATCCAATAAATTTATTCTGACAGATAAAAATTGAGAATGTTACTCAGTTTTTTGTTTTTATATTATCAGGAAATCTCCTCCAATCTCCCCCCAAAAAACAAAGTGTAAATAATTCAGACCGTTTGGCTAAAATTCCTGGCTTCTTGATTTGGAACAACATGAAGTTAACAGGTCTGTTATGTAGTTTTTTTTTTATATCATGTGTGCAGCTGCGCAGTGTGCCCAGTGTCTGTGAGCCAGTCAGTCCTCAGCGTGTTGTCATTTCAGCACCAGTGTGAGCGGAGAGCGCCATTCCTTCCATTGCAAGCAAACAGTGAGCAAACTGTTTCCACTGGGCGAGTAGGAAACAAGTGACACATTTCACCCACCCAAAAATAGGAAAAAAGGAGAGAGAGAAATGATGGAAACTGCTGGAAAGCAGAAAGCAGGAGCTGAGGGAAGGACTTATGTAAGCTTATAAAGAAGAAAACATGAAAGAAACATTCAAAACACTCTTTTTTCACAATTTTATGTCAACAGTGAAGGATTTATGAACCGTGAAGTATACCCTCGCGACACAACAGCCAAACGGTATTCTGGTTGCCATCCTTTAGTATCCACTTACCTTTTCTTTGGCTTCAATGGTCGGGATGGACGGCAGCGGTAAGCCTTTGATGCTGTGCCTCTTTCTGCCGCTCCACATTTCGTTATAAAAGTACAGAGCCAGGACACCTCCCGCTGCGGCACACAGCCCGGCTGTCAGACACCTCAGAGACCTTCGTCCATTCATGGTCGCAGCCCCGAGAAGCTCGCTTCTCCCCGCAGACCAAAGGCTTAGCTTGCCGGCCAGCGCTGCCGCTCTGCGGAAAGCGGCCATTGCTGCCGTCAGTACTGTTGTGAGGGGAAGCTCGAGACTGTCGCGTTTCGAGCGGTGTCATCGCGAGAGGATGGCGAGGCCGAGACTTAAGTTGCCCCAAAAAGTTATTTGATGTCTGGCTGTGTAAGATTAAATTATAAATCGGAGCCACTGTGAATAATTACACATATGCACTGTAAGTTAACCAGTTGAGCCATTTGAGAATGGCTCAACTGGTTCTGAAAAGAACAAACTGGGTTAACACTGAAGTCAATTCAAGTAATATAATATGACTGCATGTGTTTTCAGCTACACTTTTTATAAATAAGACATGCCTGCAACTCTAATATACTGTGATCATTGTTTTTATGTGTTTAAAATGAGTTTATTTCTGTCATGAGAATTCAGTTTACAAAAAAATATTTACCTTTTTTATATCAGTTTTAGATTTAAAGCTTTACTCATTGGTAATTCCAGACAGGGGGCAACAGGGGCCAGTGGAACGTTTCCTGGCCACTGAAATGGCCTCTGTATGTACACTACAAAGTTTGAAATATAATTAAGTACATGTTTCTTAATATAAGTCTATTTTCTTCGGATTAAAGCTGTTAAGTTAGAGAATTTGGCAATGAAGTAAGATGATTTACTTTTAAAATAAGAAAAAAACTCAATTCAATTATTATTTTTTACTGGTAGATTGTTCTATTTTTTTGCAAGGGGTCATGGGGTTCACTGATTTGATCCTTGGGGGCTACATGGTGCCAGCAGGCACCTTGTTGGTGACTCCTAAAGTAGATGGAAAACCATATCTGGGTTTAAGTAAAATACATAGACAGCTAATGATTTTTCAAATCAATTAGAAACCATCCCACTGCTGGATAATAGTCCAGCACTGAAATAAAAATGGATAACAATATATAAAATGCCAAGGTGAGGCAGGTCCAAGCAAGTTCCCCCAAAGAGCAGCATGCATGATGCTAAAGGAAGTCTTCAAAACCCTAAAATGTCATCACAGGATCTACAACAGCTTCCTGTTACCATTTAAACGAATGGTGCTGCATGGGATTAATTTTCATGAGAGCTGTGTAATTTTTTTTGATTACTTTCTTAAATATATATGAGGACCAGACTGAAGCAAATAAGACAAATAAAGCATTCCAGAAATAGAACATCATATCAACAGTAAAGCATGGAGGTTGAAGTGTAATGACCTGCACCATGAACTCCATCAGAGAGTACCCGAATGTTAATAACATGAAAATAACTTAAAACATACCAATGAATCCACCAAAGACAGGCTAAAAGAAAAGGAAATGAAAGGAAAGTCATATTTATTGAAATATTTTTTTTTCCAAATGGGTTAAGCCTACAGGTTGCTATAACCTTTTTCTTTGTTAAAATGTATATCTTTGTTTATAGGTGTTGTTTAAAGAGTATTTTATGTATTGTATGGGACATTTTACAAAACGTAAATTTTTAGAAAATTATGTAGGTTTTCTTGTGAAAAATGTCAACATCATTTACAGATCACCTGGTGAGCAGGTTTTAATTAAGTTCAAAATGCTGAGGGCAAAGATTTGTATGCTGATAACATCTCGTCATCGTTAAAGAGTTGCCTATGAATACTTCCTGGAACTAAAATAAAAGATGTCTCACTTTACATAGTGGGAAAATTATGAATGACCAATCATATCAACATGTGTCAATCATCACTTTTCATTGAGGGTCAGTGTGGTGTCAAATTTTCAAGGGTAAGTGGAGAATCAAAGCAGCCAGTGGGAACCAGATATCAAACAAATATCAAAGATGGCTTCTTCATTTAAGTCTCCACATGCAGCACTGATGTTAACCTGATGGGGCTTTTCGTAAGGCTTTGATGCTGGAGAATAAAGGGTAGAAGTCTAATAGAGGAGCCTGTCACCTGTTCACACATGAAGCACAGCGGATCACTCCAGTGCTTAGCTAAAAACAGATCAAACAGAAAATATCAAAATGCCTTGGTTGAAATAAACACAAAGGTTGAGTGTGGCTTTAAGTCGTTAATCTGTTCCATGATTACTAGATCTCACATCCCATAGTAAAATGTTTGCTGTACTAACATTATTGCTAACAAAATGAAGACCACAGCCCTTTAAATACTGGAGTTAGGGTGAAAATGTATCCATAGGCCTTGAATTATGTGGCATTTACATAATCTAATCGACAAATTTAGTTGTGATGCATTAGGATGATATGTAATTCATCAAAACAAAGCAGTGCTTGAATATACAGTAGAGCTTAAGTTTTTTTTTTCTTTTTTGAAATCTAAAGATTGCTGCATGTGTTTATATTTTACCTCCTGAGTCAATGTCAAGTGTCCTAAGATTTCATGGCTTCCTAAACTTGAAAAGGAGGACTTGAAGACTTCAGGAATTCACTCAATCTTTTTATTTTCACCAATGAGTGAAAACCAATAAACAGAACAAAACAGGTGAAAAACCTACAAAACACATATGAAATATTTTAACATATATTTTAGACATTTGGTTCAAAGTTAATAATTATCTTAATGACTAATTCCATTTTTAACCTTAAACATACATTTCTTTTACGATTTTAACCATAAATTCAAGTGTTAAATTAAATTCCATATCTGGTTGAATTTGAACCAAACAAAAGCAAACATTTTAGAATTATATATTTTTTCTTTTTCTTAGGACATAGGTTTTTACATTAGATATCTTAACATACATTTAGTGGAACCAAACTGTAAAACTAGCAGTGCAAACTTTTACTTCAATAAATTCTGCATTTCATTTCTCTAATCTGAAACAACAGTTAAATTGCAATCAATTGAGCCCAGTTAATGGCTTACCGGTAGTCCTTATAAGTCCTTTTCCATGAAATGCAGCTTTGGAGGCTGTGTTTGCCTTCCTCAGCTCTGTTGCAAAACCAGTAAAGCTGTTTGTGGATTCCTTATTACCTGAGTTGAGGGTGCTGGTGATTGGGCCAGATTTCTTTCACCTGCTGAGAAGTGCTGCAGAGTGGCATGCTGAAATGTGTGTGTGTGTGTATGTGCACACACAAATGTTTGTTCATGCACCCCCATCTGAACTAATGAGCAGATCTACGAAACAGTCAATATTTTGTGAAATCATGTTTCACAGCAATAACAGCTTTGAGTCCTCAATGGGATGTGTCAAGCAGCTTTGGAGACCTACAGATATATGTCAGAGATAGTGACAATTGCAAAAAAGCTCAAGCTCAGTCAACGGACGAACACTGGTTTTAAATATTTAATATAATTTTAAAGGGACCACTCAACCTCAAACCAATTTTATTTTTTTGCTAAAAAAACTATATAAACTATATAAGTGCTGCCTTAATTTCCCAGGAATTATAATAAAACCTGGCTGTTTATCCTAAATATATGTTGTGAGCGTAAAACTGTGTTTTCCACATTGGATCAACCGGAATGACGGCTCCTCATTCATAGCTCAACCAATCAACCTCCTCAGGTTTAAACCAGGTTACTGCAACTGATTTTCAGCTATTAAGTACAGATGCTTAGCCTATAGCTTTTTTGCTATAAGTACTTAACCTTGTAATTATTTTTAATCAAGGACCTTTATCTTTTACTATTATGTTTTCTAGTTCTACATTATTTAAGGCTATTTCTAACTTTGATCCTATGAAAATGAGCATGCTAAATGTATTAATTTGCTTACTGTACAGTATGCTAGTCAACTGTTCACTTAAATCTATATTGCCCTGCCCGATTTTTTTATTTAGACCAAAACTAGACCAAGTCAGTATTTAATGTTCTCTTTACCAACACAATGGGCAAAAATGAAAAATAACTACTTTACTTTAAATAGAACTATAGATAGATATACATAGAAACACAGTACTATTTCTTGAAGTGGAATTTTTTAGTAGAATTATTGTAGCATTTAATGTTTTACTTTTTTCTTTTTTACTTTTGAAAGAGTTCAATCTGTGCTTATATGTTTAGCATATAAACATATAACCTGTATAATAGTTTTATTATACAGGTATCTCTACTTTTATTTCAGTAAAAACAATTGAGTAATTTTAATGCTTCTGATTGGTTTATTTTGGAAAATGGAAATAAATCAATTATCAGTTTTTTTTTCTTATTCAAATAAAAAAAAAAAATAGCCTTATGATTAGATTCAAACAGGTTGCCATCATCTTTCCAGTATTGTAAATTTATTTGACATTTATTTTATATCTTTGGCATTACTACTTAATTATCAAATGGGGGAAAAAAATGTTTAACGCAGTCATTAAAAAAGGATTTAATTTTTTTAATCTTAAAAAATTTTTTTATTTGAATAATAATTGAATTTCTAAATTAAAATATATTTTTCTAATAATTTTCTTTTCTAAATTAGAGTCCAATTTAAAAATGATTAATTTAAAGAAAACAAATTAAAGAAAAATAATATACATATACATTAAAATAGAATGAAATGTGTGCCTTATCTTTCTAGTCTAACTTAATGATTCAGCATTAACGTTGTGTCAGTGGGTCACATGACACATGACAGTCTGTTTTTCAACAGTGTTTAGTTCAGATATTTATTGATGATCCCAATGAAAACCATTATACATGGGGGAAGGAGACTCCCTGTGTTCAAGTTAACCAGATTTAAAAATAATAAATAAATACAAATACACCCCCAAGAATAATTCCTTTGGGGCACATTAACTTCAAGATACTCCAAAAAAAAAAGCAAAAATGCAAAATGCAATATCCAAATCAAGAAGAAAGTCAAAGGGCGAAAGAAAGTAAAGACCTTCCTACTTTGTCCCACAGTTGAAGTTGTATAATGAACAGTAGGTGGTTCTTTTCTTCTGCTACAATGAGATAGCGACTTTAGTAAAACAAATTTTATTAAGAAATGTTCAGATGTACTCGTTTCATCACTTTTTTTTACACAAATACATAAAAAAAGCCATATAGTCAATATAAGCATTTACTGTAACATACAATTCAACTTTGATATACATATGTATATTAAAAGTATGTATAGCAAAGCTGAATATATATATAAAA